TTACTTCACTATTAATTAAGTTTAACACAGCAAACGAATACATTTTAGGAAACTACAAAATGAGGCCTACAACTTCCATGTAGAAACCATATTTTTATTTTGCCATTTAAAAGGCCTAATGCGCACATCAAAATGAGCTTCAGAGTCTACCCAAGAATTCAGATTGTCCACACTAAAACAACCAGTAATGGAGTTCTACTCGCCCGATCAAGGTGCAATTTACCAATATGGAAAGCTAAGAAAAACCTCTATAACTTTGTCTATAAGCAGCATGACTGATTCCGCTGTTTAACCTCTCCAAACATAGTTCAATCCACTACTATCCAAATTATGACATAAAAACAATGGTCCTACTCAAAAATTTATATCTCCTAAACCACTTGAGATAAAATCGTGCCCTTTGTTCAGAAGATAGACCCAAGCATTGTCTACAACTTCCTAGTTATATGCTTTTTTGCAGCAAATATTGTTTTTGTCACACCCTAAAAATCCTAAATATATAAATTGTTGTTTAATTGGAATTATTAGAATTTATTTTAAAAAAAAGCCTAGAAGAGAAGATCTAATTTTAATTAATAAATTCCAATATAAAATGGGGCCAGATAAAATTTCATTAAATACTTTGCTTAACTCTATAATTCCTAGATTTTTCTGGGATTTATTTGAGCTAAGGAAGTATTTTTAATAAATGGAATTGTATTTAATGAATAATTTAAATTGAAAAAGGTTTTTAAAATCCTCTTTTGGCTTTGGGCCGAAAGTTGGCCCAAAACCTTCTCTCTCTCTCCCCGGCCCAAGCCGGCCCAGTCCGCCCGCAGCCGCCACGTGCGCGCGTCCGCCCGCTGACAGGTGGGGCCCGCCTGTCAGGTCGTCGTCTACCTCCGGCCGCTCGCCGCCTGAACCCTAGCGCCGCGCCGCCGTCGTCTCTTTCCAAATTCGGCCGCACCTTTCCTTCTCCGGTGAAATCAATTGAGGGGAAATGTTTCCCGAGATCTCCTCTACCTTTTCCCTTTTGGAAACATCGTCTAAATCGCTTTGGAAATTCGCGGATTCGATCTCGAATCAGATTCGTTTCTCTCTCTCGAACCCTAGTTTTTCCTTCGTGTCGCCGGTCGCCGTGGGCCTTCGCCGCCGCCTCTTTGCTCCTATAAAAGGACCCCCAAGCCCGCCGCTACCCGCCGCCACCCTCGCCTTCGCCTCTTGTCGTCGGTAGTGCCCTAGCATCGTGTAGCCTAGCGCCGCCGTCGCCGCCGCAGCTCCAGCCGTGCGCCGCCGTCGCTCCGGTCGTCGTCGCTGCTCGGGGAAGTCTCTATCGTGATCGTCGTCGCGTCGCAGTCTTCGTCCGCCCCTCCGCCGTCGCCATAGGTCGCCGGAGCACCGCCGTCGTCGTCAAGCCGAAGGTTGCCGCCGCTTCTTCCTCGACGCCGTCGCCGTCCGTTGATCTTCCGCCGCCGTTTTGGTCACCGGTGAGTTCGCCGCGTCTTTCTCTACATGCTGGTGCCCTCCGTTCGCGTCGTCGCGCCGTCGTTCGCCGGTGAGCTTGCGCGCCCGAGCCGCCGCCGGTGGTGACGTCACCGCTGACGTTATCGTCGTCGTCGTCTCTCGTGGTCCGGCCGTGGACCGGTCGATCTCGGCCGTCCGTTTTGGATGGAAAGATCTCGGCCGTTCGTTTCCGTGAGCCGCCGCCGTGCACCCGGTCCATCGCAAACCCTAGCCGCTGACGCAATAAACCCCTTTTTCCTTTTCAAAAATAATTCATTATTGCGTCATAATTCAATTAAAACCCATATAATTGATTTAATCCGATTTAAATTCATAACTAATTCATCTTAGCTCGGATTTAGTTGGTTCAAGTCTCTAAATTTTTCTAAAATTGAGATCTACATGTTAAAAATATCTACATGTACTGTTCATGCTTGTTTATGTGCTGTTTTGGTGATTTTGCTCCTTTCTGTTTAGATTCCGACGTTTCCTGAGAGTCCGTTTTCGCAGGAGAAGAATTTGAAGAGTTCCAAGGCCAGCAAGGCAAGTCACACAGATCCCAAACAACCCTTTGAGCATGTTGATCCCGTTTAAAGCTATTGTTTCTATTCAACAATTGCATTTATTTTCGAATGTCATTGGGTGCAATTAACCTATTGTTTGTTATAGCCCTTTTGTTCTTGATTACTTTATTCCTTGATACCTTGGGTTATTATAACTTGACTAGCTGGGCTTCATATATTGGTTCAGCTAGATATTAGATATGATTGCTTAGCCATGCTTAGAAACCTTAGCACACTATTGAGATAACTTATGATTCAATATTATTTAATGATGGCTTAATGATAGTTCACGATGGTCAATCGTGATTGGTTAATTAATTACTTGCCAACTAAAACTTGGTAATGGTGGGTTGTGAGCACATGGTTTTGAGAGTCGTGCTCATGATAATTAAGTACCGGTTCACGAGTTTTGGTTGTGAAACATTAACCGTGCCAACCACAAGCCAGCGTGGGCAACGACTTTACCTTTTGTATAGCATGGTTCATTGCGGAGCACCAGACTGAGAAGTGGCCGAGATAAGCCCATGGGGGTCGCTGGGGAGTCCATGCCTTGTTTATAAGGGGGTGATTATGATCCAGGAAGGGTGCGCTGCGGTGGATTGTGTTGTGCGAGGGGTACTGTCACAGCTCCTTTCCGAGGTACCGTGGTGGTATTAAGGCACATGGTGACATGTTGTGGGGCTGTGTCTTGTGGGTACAGTGGTACACCTCTGGCCAGAGTAAAACTATTCGAATAGCCGTGCCCGCGGTTATGGGCGGGTCTAACAATGTCTTTTGTGATTAGTTTCACACTTCTCACCATAATAAATGATGCTATAACTGGTAATAATTTGATTAGCTCCTGGTTTGGAATGGTATATTCCTGGTTTGGAGATAGAACTATGCAGCCGGGATGGTTGTTCAGAATGGTTGGGCCTATGCAACAGGGTATGTTGTATAGTGTTGGATTAATATTGTTTAATTATTACTTAACTGTTTTATTAAATTCTGAAATGTTTATTAAATGTTGTTTATGCAAATGAAACCCTACTGTGCCATCCTTTGTTATCCTGTGCACTTGCATATTTGCTGCGTGGGTTGCTGAGTATGTCATATACTCACCTTGCAATCATTCATCAGAGGAAGAGTTCTACAGTGATGCTGATGGTGTGGAGGATTAGGTGTAGCCCTGGTCAAGCTGCCTGTGGAGTGGAGTCGTCTGCGCCGTTTATCTTTTTTTTTTCCGCTGCTTAGATTTTTATTGATTGAGAGGAACTATCTACCTCTGTAATGACATTTTATTCGCTTATTAATTAGAGTAATAATTGTACTCTATTATCAATTTGTTATTGTGTGCCTCGGCTGATTCCTAGACAAGGGTTCACACACATGTAAGCTTTTGGAATTTTGGATAGAAATTCCGGGCGTGACAGTTTTGATCCTCCAATTGGCGAAATACAGAGACAAATAAACATTGACAGTGCCCTGAACTAACAATCCAAAACATAGCACCTAAACCCATCCTCTAACCCTCCAAAAACGACGAATTAAAACCCTAAAACAACCTATAACCACTTCTACAGGAGAGGTAAGCCTCACCTAGCTAGGGTTTGCTTGGAGAACTTCCGAGAATATGATGGGAACACCAACCCACCACTCCTCCTGCTCCTCTTGTCTTCCTCGATCCGTTTTTCCAATCAGATTCTTGATTAGGGCTATGGTTCTTGGAGATCCATGGAGTTGGGTTAACAGGGGAGAAAGGAATACGTGAGTTTCATGGGTGCCAAGGGGTAGGTGTGGCGGCTAGGGCTCCTGGTACCTGTGACATACCTGAATTCTAGGTCTTAAAATTTTCTTATCAAAATAGTTAGAAACTAACTTTCCAATTTTGGGAGCCAAAAATTGCTACTTTAACCTAGGTGAGGTCAACTTAACTTGTACTTAAATAAAAATTTGAGAACAAAATAAAACCTTTCCATTTTCAGCCTAGGACAAAAATGCAAACAAAAATGTGTACATGCATATGCATTTAGCATTAGTTTGATTTGAGTCTTTTACGTGCATTTGGATTTTGGTTTGCATATCATGTTAGGTTCATGAACATGAATAAAAGGATAACTTCACTAGACAAACCCATGGTCATTCTTGTGAAATAGTTACAAGGCCATGAAAGTGAAGTCAAATAATAACAACTCAGTTCAAGTCAAGTCCTAATATAAGTGTTTACAAACATTTAGATGCATTTATATAATGAGAACACTTATATAAATAAACGCGTTGCGAATTATTGAAAATAATTCGTGCAAGGTAAAATCATGGGAAAATTCATGTAGTCTCTACTCAACACATACAATTCACTGTAATTTTGGTCAAATTTTAACACTTAGGATGATACCTCAAATAAATCAGTCAAACCAGTTAAATGATAGACCAATTATAATCCTTAATCGGCTAAAACCAACCTCACCATAATGTGCATTAAACTGCATAAAATAGTATAGGGGAAATAATTTATTAAAATACTAGGTTATTTATCATGAATAAATAAAATATTTTCAGAATTTATATACTCTGTTTAGATCTCCTAAAAATTCAAACAAAGTTATACTGAGCCCATCTTCTCCAATTTTCTGAGAGCAAACCACATAAATATTTTAAGAGAAAAAAAAGAAAATAGAAACTAGGTATCTTCATCAACCTCCAGAAAAATCCACATGAATTTATCATGCCCACAAATTAAACTATAGATTAACAAAGAGAGGAGAGAGATTTAAATCCTGAAAATCGTCCAAAATCGATAACACCCAATCTCCTACACACCTCTATCGCTCCAGTCTTGTCCCCTTCGCTCTGGACCCACTTTCAACCTCACAAGCTCGTTCCACCTGAGTACATGACGCCCTACTGCTCCAGCCAGCCGAGAGAGAAACTGAGAGCGAGAGAAAACGGAGCCGACCGTGGTCTGGACAGCACCGACGCATGTCCCAAACGTGGCGACGCCGAGCTCGCCTACTCCTTTCCCAGCATCGCCGCCTCCCATCAGTCTTCACTCCACAGCAAGGAACCAAAGCTGAGAGCTCCATCTCGTCCTCCTCTCCTTCCTCTCCATCGTCGGCCACCGGGAAGGACGCGTTGCCGTTCGTCGTCGAGGTGCGGTTGCCGTCATATCCTCCACGTTCCTTATTCATCTCATCATACCAAAGGTTTTACCTTTTGACCTCACCCTCTCTCATGCAGCGGATCATTGGGAACGCCATCATGCCCACGGGAGCTCCAAAGCGCGCCCGGAGCGCCGTCACCACGACCTCGTCGCTGTCCCGGCTGCTGTGGCGCGAATCCGGCCGAGCCGTCGCGCCAACATCTTCCCCTCGAGGTCCTCTCCAAATGCCCTAAAAAATCCCCAAGATCTGAGCACCGAGGAGAGAGATCGAGCTATTCTTCTCCAAGTCCAGCCGCTGAGCTCCATCATTGATTCCTCTTTCTCCGGTGAGCTCCAAGTCGATTCCGTGCACACATAGATTTCCTAGGACCACTTTAACATGGGAGACATACATGCATGGTAGTTCTTGTAGTGAGTCAAGCCGACACCGTTCATGCGAGAAGGAGCGTCGTCGCCGAGCCGTTCCGAACGCCGTCGTCGACGACCAAGCTTCGCTAACCTCGTCCAATACTACTGTGAGCACACTGGAGCTTCTAGAGTTGCATGCATGCATTTTATCCACCTAGATCCGGCCTCTAACGTGGCATGCATCACTACCCCGAGACCCACCGCCGCTCGTGCCACCGTAGCCATTGATTCCGGTAACTACAGATCACGATAAGACCACCATTGGCTTCGCAAAGAACCCCGCTTCCTTTTCTCTTTTGATTTCATGCCGAGATCTGTTGGGATACGCGTAGGCTATGATAGCATAAATCAAAATTTTTCTATCGTGTAAACCAGGAACCATGCAAGTATCGATCGTTACCACTCGATGCGCTGCGCAGCGGAAGAAGACGCTAAGAAGTCGAAGGAACTCTCGCGAAGTAGCGCGCGTCGATGTAGAGGAAGTAGTCGATCGCACCGGCTCGACCTTCTCCTCCTCGTGCGTTTTCCTCGCCGTACTCCCACGCTGATCAGCACCGCAAACCAGCGGCACATCTACCGGTATCCACACGTATAGGGACGGAACGCCACGCGCAGATGTGCTAGCACCCGCGCGCGGCTAGGGTTTTGCTTGGGAAGGCTAGGGTTTCTCACGTGATGCAATGTCTCCGCCGATTACACCCCTCATGAATATATAGAATCCATGACTCGGGCCTCCAAGGCTCGAGGACTCCTATTCGGATCCCTATCCGAATTAAGCTCATATTGGATCTCCATCCAATCCCCTATTCCGGCCCATTAAGCGTGCGACCCTGTAGGTTCATGTACACTCGGCTGTAACCCGAAAACTCCTTTTCGGTCCACGTGTCAACAGCGGTCCCTAGCAGAACGTATTGACCCACCGGGCATACATAAAGATCATATCGGCTGAACCTCTAGTGTATACTTGTATGAACCCCTTTGCCTCACGATATCGATTAAACTCGAGGCTAGATATGTGCCATCCTCTAATAGCTCAATCATTCACTTGAACCTGTGATAGATTATATAACTTGTGATTGACTCCTCAATCACCTTTAGCATGGCCATGCACTTCCATAATCTATAACATCGAGGGGCCCAGAGATATCTCTCTATAGGAGGGGCAAATCCCATCTTGATTATTCATATCCCACTGCAGGTTTAACAGCATGCCCGAAAACTACTTTTATAACTACCCAATTACGGAGTAGCGTTTAGCAGTCTCTAAGTAAGCTACTACATATGTTGGGAACCATGATAATCTCAGGTCTAAGAATTAAACACCAACACTAAATGAGTCACTGATGACACAACACACATGGCTCTTGTAATGTCTCATGTTGGGTCTATCTAACAACATGTTCCCCAACATGTGTCCACATTATTAATTTGGTATCTCTATACCATAATCCATGACACATGATCATCAATTAATACATGTGTTGATCATTTAAACATATTTGTTCCACATATGATATTTGATCAGGGATCCTTTGGAAATAGTAACAAACAATATAAAGAGTCTCACGAAAGAATCACATATTCATTAACCAATAATGAGTTATATATTTCAAGGAACAATATCGGATAAATATGTAAACATTGTATGTGATACAATCATCTCTATGATTGCCTCTAGGGCATATCACTAATAGTCTCCCACTTACACTAGAGTCAATCATGCATGTATCTTATACCCATTGCCCTAGTGTGTTCCTCATGCTTAGGCTGAGGGAGTGGCTTTGTCAACGGATCTGCAACATTCAAATCCGTATGTATTTTGCATATCTTCACATTTCCTCTATCCACTATCTCGCGAAAGAGGTGATACCGCCGCAAAATGTGTTTAGAGTTTTGATGTGATCTAGACTCGTTGGCTTGAGCAATGGCACCACTATTATCACAATAGAGGTCCATAGAGCTGGAAGCACTAGTCATCACACCTAGTTGAGAAACAAATTTCGTTATCCAAACAACCTCCTTTGCTGCTTCAAAAGCGGCAATGTATTCGGCTTTTGTTGTAGAATCAGCAACTGTATTTTACTTGGAACTCTTCCAACTCACAGCGCCACCATTTAGGCAGAACACAAATCCAGACTGCGATCTAAAATCATCTTTGTCGGTTTGGAAGCTTGCGTCAGTGTAACCATTTACAACGAGCTCTTCCAGTCCTCCATAGACTAGGAACATATCCGTAGTTCTTCTCAAGTATTTCAGGATATTCTTTACAACTATCCAGTGACTCTCACCTGGATCTGATTGGTATCGGCTTGTTGCACTAAGTGCATATGAAACATCTGGACGTGTACATAGCATAGCATACATGATGGATCCAATTGCCGAAGCATATGGAATCACACTCATCTTGTTTCACTCATCAGTCGTTTGAGGACATTGATTCTTGCCAAGGTTAATGCCATGTGACATTGGTAAGAAACCTTTCTTAGAATCTTGCATGTTGAACATCTTCAACACCTTGTCAATTTATGTACTCTGGCTTAATCCAATTAGCCTCTTTGAACTATCTTTATAAATCCTTATGCCCAGAATATATGCTGCTTCCCCGAAGTCCTTCATTGAAAAACTATTTTGCAACGATGTCTTAACGGATTCAAGCATAGGCATATCATTCCCAATCAACAATATGTCATCTACATATAGGATTAGAAACACTAGTGCTCCCACTAATCTTCTTGTATACACAAGGCTCTTCTTCTTTTTTGACAAAGCCCAACAACGCCTTGACTACTTCGTCAAAACGGATATTCCATCTCCGAGATGTTTGCTTCAACCCATAAATGGATTTCTGCAACTTGCATATCTTTTTAGCTGATTGTGGATCAACAAATCCCTTGGGTTGTGTCATGTACACATCCTCATCGAGATTTCCATTGAGGAAAGCTGTTTTGACATCCATTTGCTCTATCTTATAATCGAAATAGGCAGCAATCGCTAAAACAATCCGAATATATTTTAGCATGGCGACTGGTGAGAAAGTTTCATCATAATCAACACATTGAATTTGTCTGAAACCTTTCGCCACCAATCGTGCCTTATAGATGCGAACATTTCCATCTACATCAGTCTTTTTCTTAAAGACCCATTTGCACTCAATGGCTTTTACACCATCAGGTGGATCAACCAAGTTCCAAACTTGATTGACATGCATGGATTCTATTTCGGATTTCATGTCTCCAAGCCATTTCTTAGAGTTTGGTCCCACCATTGCTTCCTCATAGGTAGTAGGTTCATCGTTGTCTAACAACAATATATCATGTTGTCCTGTAGTTAACAATGCATACCTCGCAGGTGTACGCCGTATCCTTTCGGACCTTCGTGAAGCCGGTGCTTCCACAACTGGTTCAACAACAACTTGTTTAACGTGTGTTAACGACCAAATTTTGTAATATCTGCATCGGAAAAGAGGATTAGATCGAAGCGGAGTCAAAGGCGAAGATCGATTCGAGAATAGAGCAAGAATCGGCTGGAGTCCAGATCGGCTAAGATCAGGATCGGCTGGGTCTGAGTCAGACTGGGTAAGCCGATACAGCCGATTCCGACAATACGACTTGGTGTACGACATCAGGTTGAATTGATATGCTTCAAGATGATTGCCACACATGGATAAAGTCCTGAGAAGACAATTGTATCTATTAATTAGGATATTTTATGTAATTTCCTTAGAGATATGTTTAGGGAAAAAGTCTGGTGTGAAGACTTATGGTATCATAGAGTTTGTTAGAGATAAGAGTCGTGTCTGATATGGACATAATTTGTAATTTTCGAGTATAAATAGACCCCGAACCCTATGTAATCAATTAACACACACGTTCAATACAATTTCGGCGCATCGCCACCCTTTTGCTTTAGTTTTATTTCGACAAGTTCTTGCTTTCGGGTTGAGCTGCATCGGTTTCGATCTTCAACAAGAGGTAAAACTTGTTATGACAGCTTGCATTCAATGGCTTGGGCGTCTTGAGCATCGGTTCCAGGGATGATTTTCAATGACTTGGTCAGATCAGCAACATTCTTGATAGCCGATTTGAGTCTTACTTTCTGTTCTTCGATAGACTTTGGGAGATCGGCCAGCTTTTTATGTTCCATATCCAGTTCGGTGTTGCATTCTTCAAGTTGTGCCAAGAGCTCAATCTTGCGAGCTTTGAGCCGATCAATATTGGACTTAATCGGACCCTCAGATAGCTGATCAAGTTTGGTCTTCACTTCATGAACAAGCTGCCGATTGGTTTGGATTATAGCTTCGATATCCTTGCGCTCCCGACATTCGGCTAGTCTTAACTTGGCCTTCTCCAGCTTGAATTGATGTTGTTCAAGATAGACCGCTGGAGTAAGGATATCGGCTAGCTCATCTGGGATTAGAGCTTGGATCTCATGTAGACGAGTCCTAATCGGCCCACGGTTTACCACCAAGCTATCTAAAGAAGAGGCCTCTAGCTGATGAGAGATATCTTCGAGTGTTTTCTTTACGTCATCAGACAAGGGAACCAGAGATTTGCTGGTGGTATCTTCTTCTATTTCTTCGTCAAGATAATCTTTAATATCGAAGGAGAACAGATCGGCTAAGGCCTGCAAAGGAAATTACGGTCGATCCGAGATTTGATGTTTAAAAGAAAACTTACTAGGATAGCAGGAGCAGCTGGTTGTTCTTCTTCCTCAATATGATGACTTCCCATAGCCGATGGAGTTCGGTCACTTGATGATTGTTGTATGGAAGGAGAAGGAGGAGGAGGGGGCTGTAAAATAGACAAGTGTTATATAAAATCGGCTGAGATTGACTAGTAAAAGAATTAAGGATATCTTACTGGTGGAGCCGGATTGAGAATTGTTGCTGCTAGTTTCTTTTTCACGGCCGCTTTCTTCTTCTGCAACTATAGAATCAGTGGGTAATCGGCTATAAATGAAGAAATAGAAAGAATTGAAAAGTTGCTTACCCTTGAAAAATGGGCTGGAGCAGAAGGGGTCAGAGGAGTTTGCTTGGGCGAAGCCGATGATGTTTTCTCAGTATCGCTTACCTCAGCTGCAACCTGGTCAACATCCTCGCCAATTTCTTCTT